GTGAACACGTCACGTGGACGGCTCATTCAGAGCACCAAGCGACGATGCCCCCCATGGTGGACTACTGCATAATGCAGTTGTTTAGACGTTCCAGACAGCCGGGATAACTTTTTCGGCCGTTTGTTTATCTTGTTTTGTTGGGTTAGGCCCTTTCGGTCTGACGAGACCCTTTCAGAGCCGGAAGGAAGATAAGAATTAGGGGGAGACATTGGTCTGGGCAGGCACCCTAGTAAGTCACCGGGGCTGAGCCCGTCCCGAAAGACAGGCCGACTAACCCCAAAGTACTCACTGCACCCGGCTACGGGGTGCGCTCCCTCGGGAGCAGCGGTGCTGAGCCCGCATGAGATAAAGTTGCCTGTCCAGCCCGGAGGGGATTGCGGCGTGGAGGAGAAGGATGTCACTATCCTGAGGATAGAAGCACGGAACGGGTGATTTCGGCCGCCGATTTTTCAAACATATCCTTTATAGACCGAGGAGTTTCTTCCTCCAAGCAGACGTTAATTAGCTATGCTTCAGCTTGCACTTAATGTTATCAGGGCATAGGTATTGCTCTAGACAATTTATCATGTATCGACTCCCTCGGCTGTATTGTGCATTTTGACCTTTCTCAAAACACTTTGGCAGATTTTTACAAAAACCCAGCATAAAAGTCGGTACTCGAAAAACGCCCTCTATTATCCCCATCTGAAGTTAAGGTTTAGAGGTCGCTCACTGGTGGATGACACGGTGTATTTGTGCAAGGGTACACGTCTACCATATCCGACAACACATGATTTCGATACACTGATGCATTACATTCGTCCAGCGTGCTTGGCACGAGAAAACTGTGTCATTATTCTGTTTTATGTGTTATCAAACGTGTCGAAGGTCCCGCCAAGCATGAAAATACTCAGCCTTATTGTGTTTTGGGTGCGATTAACACATGACTGATGTGTTACCAGTACAGAACATGCCCTCAATGAGTCGATTTGTTTTCAGTGTAGTGTGTTCATTGATCATTCGAGCAAAGGACGTCGTGGAGGACATCGAAAGCACAGCTGTGGAACCCAGAAAAGACTAAACCTGCACGACAACGACTTTTCGGCGTGCCGGAAACCGGAAGATTCACCCAAGAGACCCTTGGTGGGCGTGTTTGCCCGCACCCGGTGTAGGTCTGCATGACTATTTTACGGTCAGCGCTCGGACCCGAGCAGTGCGCAGTATCTGGTCCTATTATCCCTTTTACAGGGTCCGGCATATAAGTTTTGTCTTGTAAAAATGTGTCGTGTAAGCTGCTAGGTGAAAGTCAGCAATTGTTACAGGATATGCAATGCTCTAATGACATCTCTTTGGTAATGAACAGTTATTTAACATACACGCCATTTTTGCGTTGCTGAAACCACCGTTGATTTTCGTGATTTATAACCGAAATAGATATTAAATATCCATTCATGATGATCTCAGATTTACTTATCCCAAGTTGCGTCTTATCGGAAGAGAAACGGTGAAGCTATGCCCATGCTGTTGTCGTACCAATGTAAAACATGAATAATAATAAAAGACCAAATGTCTGTGAGTTTTGGATGTGTTACGATATATAAAGGGAAACCGGACGAGGGAGCTGGGACTGGAGTAATGAGACAGTTTCTGAGCAAGTTCTACGACGAACATACCTAGGGCATTATCATTTTCCCTTCTGGGTTTATGTGGGGTCTAATGCAAGAATACATTGAGATCAGTGATGGAAATCACAGAATAATACGAGAGTGTTAAGTGGTATAATGCGAGTATAATTTGCAAAATATTCCCCTTATATACGCTTAGAAGTAATACTAGAGGTTTCGATGTAAGGGTATTTTGGTAGATTAAAAGGAGTGTACTGTGGGTATCGCAGGGAATAGAACAGGAATCATATTCCTTTCCTCTTCGGTACTTACTAGGGTATATTAGAAGAATTCAAGGGAGCTATTTAAAGAACAAGGGTATAGTTTGGGTATATTCGAAGAAATGATCAGGGTGTTGTTTTAGACCAAAACCCCTAATATGCTTAAAAGGAATCAAAAAGGTTTTCAGTGTGGGGTATATTAGAAGAATTTCAGAGCGATATTCAAAGAAAGTGTATTTGGGGTATATTCGGAGAAATGATCAGGGTGTTGTTTTAGACCAATTCCCCTAATATGCTTAAAAGGAATCAAAAAAGCTCTCAGTGTATAGTGATAGGCAGTAAGCGGCATTCAAAACAAAGTGTTAAAAATCATAACTTCGGTAATATTTTTAGGTGCGGTTATTGGTCAGGACCAGGTCACCATAGGTCATCAAAGGTAAAACGTTGCCTATTTCATCGTTTTTCGTAAAACCGGCGCATGACTCAGGAACCAATAGAGCTACAGCGCCCTGGAAAAGCGCATTCGATATACCTTTTAAGTTTTTAACGCTCCTCCAGAAATAGGCGCTCAGATTTGACCTAGGGTTAACGATTTAGCCAAGCTCGAAAATGGCCGTTTTTACGAAAAAAATATTTGTTTTTTTCGATGATAAATTTTGACTCAAGTATAGCAGGACATATATTTTGCCTGCATGGTATTCCTCTCGTCAAGACGCATCGAATGAATTATTATTTGGTCTTGAAAGGTAACACTGTAAAAAATATTGACTAGCCCCTCGTCAAATGATTCTTAACGCTAAATGTCGGGGGTACAGACTAGTTTTGCATCCTACTTTTGACACACGCTGCGAGCCCCTGGCTTGTTTTGTGTTCGTCAGATGACAGTTACCAGGTGTCGGTTAGTTTTTACCACGTCCCAAAAATAGCTGGAGCGTTTCTGCCTTGTTTTGGAAGCAGGTCCTCGTTAATGCTGTGTATGATAACAAAGTACCTAGTAACAATAATAACGAAAAACAATGTCAAAACGAGGGCGGCTTGTTTAGTGACGAAGCTCAAAAGAAGCATCGTATTGTTGCTACTTAACGAATGAAGCTCAAACTAGGTCAAAACTAACGTATTGCTCAACCCATAGTCAGATGACCAGCAGATCCTACGCCGCCCAATCCAGTCATCGAATTTGCCAGCGAATTCGTTTGAAGACCATCATATTATTAAATATCGGTGGTCTTCAAACGAAATCCCTTACTAGTTTGATGACGAATTCATCCGGCCCATTCCAAAAACGCTCAAGATAAAATGAAAGTGTATTTCTGAAATAATGTGCTTTCTTGCAATGCACCTTTCGTATATCAAGCGAACCTTTCACTTCCAGCGCCCGTTTACAGTTATCAATCGAATCAGAAGCATGCACATACTCGTACCTATCGATAGATCTGAACCTAAGAACACAGAAGACATTTTGTAGAGTACCTATCTGAGCCTATGCAGTGGAGCCCGTGAGCCGCCCAACCGCAGCTGCCTCATGAACTTGATGATAGGTCTGAACCTCAGATTGGCCAGAGCTTGGCCGTCAATAACCAGCTTATTTATATCCACAGTTGTAGTGACTTAGGGTTTGGAATTTGCCAAACCTAAGTTTTGATTACCAAGAGAAGTTTTGTACTTCTTGCACTTGCCTTTTCTTCATAACTTTGGCGGAAATCGTCGTAGTGAAACTTCAGTGTTCCGTTAGCTGTCGGTTCTTGAGAGAGTTGGCCAGGCCGGACACCGGGGGCGGCTCCACAACTTTCGAAAAATCAAACCTAAGTCCTATTGCACTGCATGGAGAGCAATTCATTTAAAATCGCTCTTGTTCCCCCCCCCTCGACAACTTTGCAAACGTCTCTGCGCGATTTGGTTGAGAATAATGGCTTATGGCAAGTTATTGAATCAGAACGTCAATCACTGCAGGTCCTATATCAGCAAGCAATTCTTCATAACTAGACACTGCACAAATGGAAACGATACAGGTTTGCCCAGTGATAAACACTCGCACTGCACAGACTCGCGCACCCCCGACCGAACGCGGCACGGCACAGCGCAACTGGCGCCGGGAAGCCGGGAACGCATTAAGTGAAGGATTCACAGGTGCGCAACTTTATTGCGAACAATAAAAACCTACCGCAAACGATTAAAAAAAAAAAGTTTTAGGGCAATCGGAAATACAAATGTATTTACTTATAGAAATAAAATTGTTATTCACCTTCCAAATAACCCAACAATTTATTTGCCGTAAAAAGTGTCTGGAATGGAAAGTTGCAAACATGATTCAGCAAGTAGGGAACGCAGCAACTACCTGGCGAATAATCTCAGGCTGGTTTAGTGACGAGTGCATTGCTACGGCTTGTTCCTCACCCTTCACAGATTACTATGACAAAACTACCCCTAGTATTTTGATCATCCTGAGGCTGGCTTTCACCTAATAATTTGATGAGGGTCTTCCTCGTTTCGGATTGAGGCGAAAACAAACGTCAAACAACCTTGATAGTTAATTCAGCACTTAAAAACAAAGGTACACCTAGGGTATCATTGCAATACCGGATCATAACGATCTGGATAGTTCTCAGTCTGTAAGCTAACTAAGCGGTAACTAGTCAAGTGGTAGGTACCGGAAGCATTGACAACCTGGTGACTGTTTCGAGACCCTTGTTTTGACACATAGCTCGTCAATATTTTTTACAGTGAAATTTTCAAAATTTGAACTAAGGTCAATTTGTCACGACCGGACCAGAGAAGGTTATGCTGCACATCAGTCGATCCGAATCGTCGACCTGAACATAAGTAGCTAGGGTTTTTTTCACTGCGTTAGTATGTCTCTTTAAAACTTTATTGTTAAAAAAGTTCTTTGGACCTTCATGACTAACATAAACAGGAGCAACAGGTGCAATTTTCCGTACGACATGGCATTTCAAATGAGTGACCCGTTTATTTGCTGTTTTTCTACTAAATATTATATTAATTTGTTTTATCCCCATTCCACGCTGGCTTTGCTTTGGAACCGCAGCAGACGGTAGAGGTCAAGGTCACTGCTTAGGCGGCGGCGGATTGCTCTTTGCCTGGTCTTTGTGAATGTATGGGATACCAAGAATCGCCCTCCTGAAGCTATGCAATTTATTCATCTTTGTGTGCGGGCAGGTACATTGCTCCGTGCTCGCACAAAACGAGTTGAACGTCATCTTGTCTTATGGAGACGCACCTAATTAGGCAGGGTAACTTCATACATCACTGACCCTGTAAACTTACACAAGCTATCGTTAACTCGTTGGTTCGGGGTACACTTCCTTACACACTACATCGCCTTACCATTCACCCGCTGAACCACGTGATCAAAGACTTTTGACACTGGTTGATACGGCAGATCATTATCAATAACGTCGCTGACCTGCGGGGCCACAGTCGTCATACACTGGCTGACCTGCGGGGCCACAGTCGTCATACACTAGCTGACCTGCGGGGCCACAGTCGTCATACACTGGCTGACCTGCGGGGCCACAGTCGTCATACACTGGCTGACCTGCGGGACCACAGTCATCGTACATCGGTTGACCTGCGATACCTAGCGGCAGGTCCTTGGGCACATAGCGAATGTCGTTCAACTCACAGTACACTGCCTCTGAGTCAAGGTCATGATGCTGCTCCCCAGGACCGCTGCTGTCGACCTCGTCGCGCTGATGTGGTGTGACGCCACCACCGGCGTTCTGACGCTGACGTGATTTCGGTTTTGGAGCTGCAGTGTAACGGCGCTCAAAAGCGACTGGCTTTGGGAGCTGTGCTAGCTCCAGTGACGGGCTTATGCCGCTCGGTGGGCTGGTGTTTCTCTGCCTCACTTTTCCACCTATCACCAAAGCAGCTACAGCCACGACCAGCAGTGGTGGCCCGATGGCAAAGGCCAGCTTCCAGATTTTCCAACCAGAACTTCTGGCTTCTATAGCCTGGCACAGAGACGCAGCTTCACCGCGATCAGCGCACTTCGAGCAGACAAACTCTGCCAGGGTCGGCGTGAGTGCTCCAGCCGCGCAGCGAACCTGAGCCAGGACCTGCCGCGTTCCTCTTCCCTGGTCGTTATTCGACATTTCGTCCCCTGCCACGAGCCGGAGCGCCTGGCGGTTGGGATGACAGCTACACGGCATGCGGAGGGCAATGTCGAGCTGGGACACCCGTCCGTACTCAGCGAGGTTCAGGGAGCCATACTCCGCTTCGTGAGCTATGACTTGCTGGAAGGAAAGCGTTGCTACTCTTCGGGGATTGGCTGCAAGACTGACGAAAGCGTTGGCGCGCACCGACATGAACGAAGACATTTGCAGTAACGCTGATCGGTTGAAGCGCACGTCCAACGCGTGCGACGACAGCTCCTTGACCTCAGTGGAGTAGATGATGAATGAGGTCGCGCTGAGGTTCAGCCCGCTCTGGCCAACTCGCCCCACGCTGCTGTTCCGGATCTGGAAGTGGTCGAACGTGCCGCTGATGCCGAGGGGCTCGATGTCTCCTAGTTGACTGGACAGCACAGTGAGGTTCCCCCAGCCGTCATCAGCCTGAAGGCAGCCACTCCGGATGGTCGGGACGATCGTCACCCTATTCAGGATGAAGTTGCTGACGTGCCCGCTGAAAGAGTTGTTCCCACACCCGTCGGGCAACGCAGTGTTGTTTATATGAACTTGATCTATTTGGGACTGAATCGCGCTGTCCTCTATGATCAAGCTCTGGATGTTTTGGAAAGACACACTTTTGATGACAGAGTCGGCTGCAAACGCAGACTCAGCAATGCTACAGCTGGTCACTCCGCTGATGACAATTTCGGGACCAGGACTCTGTAGTCTTGAAAAGACATCACGGTCCAGGTAAAGTCGGTTTATATCATTCATTGTAATGGTCATATTCTCCGTTTTCGTTGTACTCCTCCAATCGGTTTTACCAATCCGGAGGTTGCTGATGTTGTTCAGATGAAATGCGCGGAGATTTCTTAGGCCCGTCAGAGCATCATCCTTTATGATGATCCCCCTGGCATTTGAAATCCGAATGTCTTGAATAGAAAGCGGAAGTTCTCCAGCAAAAAATCTCGTCTGTGAAAGAAGCATTCATTTTATGTAAAAATGATACTACAATAAGATACGTACAATTTGTCCATCCTACAAACAGCTGGTCATCTACATGCCTACCTCTTCTGCGTCTCATTATGTTTCGCAGATAAGGTAAGGTATAGAGTGGGACAAAGCGACCTATGCTGAATATGCCGACGCTTGATTACTAAGCTTGGAAAATTATCCCTTTTCCAGTGTGATCCCTATTAAATTGCCTTTTATTTCAATTTCGTTTCATTTCTGGAGGCGTTCACATCTAGGAGATATTAGCAAAACTTTGAACCTTATGCCTTCTGGCCACTTTGCCCCAGACCATGTGGCAAAGAGGATGTGGCTGGAGGCGTTCACATCTAGGAGGATGTAGAGGTTATATGATCGCGCTGTCCTCGATTTCGATACATTTCTATATCTATAATAACGTTTGTTATTCAGGTTGAAGCAGCTGATGGAATAAGGAGCTGTCCACTCAGTCATGTCCACTTTCCCCGTGTCTACCAACCGAGACAAAACAAAGTCTTCCAACTCTGTTATTAGTGGGGCAAAACGCATTTAAATTGGCAAAGGACATGTACGATAACCACTCAATGCAGGAATGAAAACACTTAAATAACCTTCCAAACGGTCATGGCGCAAAGTACCATTTTAAAACGTAAGAATATCGGGATAATGTCAATAGCCTGGGGGGAAAATGCCTATTCATTTGCCACGGAAAAATGTCGACAGGTCGGAAACCCCGCGGTCTGGCTCATTCGAACGACTGCAAAGAAAAGTAAAATTGGCAACCACAAACTGGAGCTCACGTCATTTTGCAGGGCTAAAACGAAGGGTGGCCGCTTTGCCCACTCTCCACTATACCTTATCCCGCGCTATTCAGCCGAACGCGCCCTGCTGGAGGAGCAGGGTCTGCCCCCTATCTTACTTTCGAGCGGATGGTCGTAGAAAGACTGGGAAAAACAGCAATCAAAGGTTAACGTCAACGTTTGTATAAACGTTCAAAAGTTAAAGAGACCCTCCCACCTTAACATTAGATTTGAGTTGAGATAGCCAAAATGGGGTCCCTGACTCACTATTACCGGTTTCGGCACTCACAACATCGAGAAATGCCTTAAATCGGAAATATTGAATTTCAAAATTGCAGCATTTTGATTCAGAGGGGCTAATGCATAGGAATACCCCTCTGAATGTGTGACGTCAGCGCAGATATCTAACGATTTTTAAATGTTTGACTAAAACGTTTTGTAGCACGCGGTGGTATATGCTGCTTTGCGCGCAACAAGTGCCGCACTTTCAGCTGCCAAACTATTGCTTCCAAATAAAGTCGCTAGGAACAGCGGAGATCCCAAAAAGTAAACAAAAGTTAAAGTCTAATATCTTGAAAACCGGTGAATATTTTTCGGTGAAATTTGGTAGATATTTGTTTTCGCTCTTTCTGAACCGAGCGACATCACTTTCATGCCAATTCATAAACTTTTTTGAAGGTGGGAGGGTCCCTTTCAGTATAAACTTTAAGCTAAATATCAAAGAGCCATTTATGGACAAAGTCGCAATATTGCTAATCATTGCTAATTGGCATATTTACCACCAAAATGATAGCTAGCGATTACGGTCTTTTACTGTCGAGTGTCGGCGTTACTGTCGGCGTGCGCCACCTACCCTGCTGTAGCTGACACCGTCGTAGTCACAAGCCATGGTAACGGCCTGGCCGACGGTTGGCTCGAACCGACACCCGTTGCTAATTCGATCCTCGTACCAGACGGCGGAATCGGCACCGCCTGACAGAGCAGCCACAGCTAATGGCAGAATCACGGCCAGTGGGGGTCGATGAGTAGACCCCATGGTCCCGCGGAACGCCCTACAGCAGCGGCACAGCCGAACGGTCGGCCGGTCGAGTTACCAGTGCCACTCGCGAGAGTGGCCCGGGGCCTCCGAAGGGACGTGCAGATCTGTCCCGGAAACATGATGATTTTTATCAGCCACTTTGACCGGAAACGGTGCTGCCTGGCAGAGACGACGCTGAGCACAGCGGCGTAAGGGCTACTTGGTGCAGTCCCTCACTCTATAGCCCGCGCCGGGCCAGTGCTCGGCGGCAACGGCGCCGGGCCGGAAGGGGGGAGGGTGTTTAAACATCCCCTTCTAACTCGGCTTTTGGGCCACGTATAGTGATAGGCAGTAAGCGGCATTCAAAACAAAGTTAAAAATCATAACTTCGGTAATATTTTTAGGTGCGGTTGTTGGTCAGGACCAGGTCACCATAGGTCATCAAAGGTAAAACGTTGCCTATTTCATCGTTTTTCGTAAAACCGGCGCATGACTCAGGAACCAATAGAGCTACAGCGCCCTGGAAAAGCGCATTCGATATACCTTTTAAGTTTTTAACGCTCCTCCAGAAATAGGCGCTCAGATTTCACCTAGGGTTAACGATTTAGTCAAGCTCGAAAATGGCCGTTTTTACGAAAAAAAAATATTTTTTTTTTTCGATAATAAATTTTGACTCAAGTATAGCAGGACATATATTTTGCCTGCATGGTATTCCTCTCGTCAAGACGCATCGAATGAATTATTATTTGGTCTTGAAAGGTAAATTTTCAAAATTTGAACTAAGGTCAATTTGTCACGACCGGACCAGAGAAGGTTATGCTGCACATCAGTCGATCCGAATCGTCGACCTGAACATAAGTAGCTAGGGTTTTTTTTTCATTGCGTTAGTATGTCTCTTTAAAACTTTATTGTTGAAAAAGTTCTTTGGACCTTCATGACTAACATAAACAGGAGCAACAGGTGCAATTTTCCGTACGACATGGCATTTCAAATGAGTGGCCCGTTTATTTGCTGTTTTTCTACTAAATATTATATTAATTTGTTTTATCCCCATTCCACGCTGGCTTTGCTTTGGAACCGCAGCAGACGGTAGAGGTCAAGGTCACTATTTAGGCGGCGGCGGATTGCTCTTTGCCTGGTCTTTGTGAATGTATGGGATACCAAGAATCGCCCTCCTGAAGCTATGCAATTTATTCATCTTTGTGTGCGGGCAGGTACATTGCTCCGTGCTCGCACAAAACGAGTTGAACGTCATCTTGTCTTATGGAGACGCACCTAATTAGGCAGGGTAACTTCATATATCACTGACCCTGTAAACTTACACAAGCTATCGTTAACTCGTTGGTTCGGGGTACACTTCCTTACACACTACATCGCCTTACCATTCACCCGCTGAACCACGTGATCAAAGACTTTTGACACTGGTTGATACGGCAGATCATTATCAATAACGTCGCTGACCTGCGGGGCCACAGTCGTCATACACTGGCTGACCTGCGGGGCCACAGTCGTCATACACTGGCTGACCTGCGGGGCCACAGTCGTCATACACTGGCTGACCTGCGGGGCCACAGTCGTCATACACTGGCTGACCTGCGGGGCCACAGTCATCGTACATCGGTTGACCTGCGATACCTAGCGGCAGGTCCTTGGGCACATAGCGAATGTCGTTCAACTCACAGTACACTGTTTCTGAGTCAAGGTCATGATGCTGCTCCCCAGGACCGCTGCTGTCGACCTCGTCGCGCTGATGTGGTGTGACGCCACCACCGGCGTTCTGACGCTGACGTGATTTCGGTTTTGGAGCTGCAGTGTAACGATGTTCCGAAGCGACTGGCTTTGGGAGCTGCGCTAGCTCCAGTGACGGGCTTATGCCGCTCGGTGGGCTGGTGTTTCTCTGCCTCACTTTTCCAACTATCACCAAAGCAGCTACAGCCACGACCAGCAGTGGTGGCCCGATGGCAAGGGCCAGCTTCCAGATTTTCCAACCAGAACTTCTGGCTTCTATAGCCTGGCACAGAGACGCAGCTTCACCGCGATCAGCGCACTTCGAGCAGACAAACTCTGCCAGGGTCGGCGTGCGTGCTCCAGCCGCGCAGCGAACCTGAGCCAGGACCTGCCGCGTTCCTCTTCCCTGGTCGTTATTCGACATTTCGTCCCCTGCCACGAGCCGGAGCGCCTGGCGGTTGGGATGACAGCTACACGGCATGCGGAGGGCAATGTCGAGCTGGGACACCCGTCCGTACTCGGCGAGGGTCAGGGAGCCATACTCCGCTTCGTGAGCTATGACTTGCTGGAAGGAAAGGGTTGCTACTCTTCGGGGATTGGCTGCAAGACTGACGAAAGCGTTGGCGCGCACCGACATGAACGAAGACATTTGCAGTAACGCTGATCGGTTGAAGCGCACGTCCAACGCGTGCGACGACAGCTCCCTGACCTCAGTGGAGTAGATGGTGAATGAGGTCGCGCTGAGGTGCAACCCGCTCTGGCCAACTCGCCCCACGCTGCTGTTCCGGATCTGGAAGTGGTCAAACGTGCCGCTGATGCCGAGGGGCTCGATGTCTCCTAGTTGACTGGACAGCACAGTGAGGTTCCCCCAGCCGTCATCAGCCTGAAGGCAGCCAGTGCGGATGGTCGGGACGATCGTCACCCTGTTCAGGATGAAGTTGCTGACGTGCCCGCTGAAAGAGTTGTTCCCACACCCGTCGGGCAACGCAGTGTTGTTTATATGAACTTGATCTATTTGGGACTGAATCGCGCTGTCCTCTATGATCAAGCTCTGGATGTTTTGGAAAGACACACTTTTGATGACAGAGTCGGCTGCAAACGCAGACTCAGCAATGCTACAGCTGGTCACTCCACTGATGACGATTTCGGGACCAGGACTCTGTAGTCTTGAAAAGACATCACGGTCCAGGTAAAGTCGGTTTATATCATTCATTGTAATGGTCATATTCTCCGTTTTCGTTGTACTCCTCCAATCGGTTTTACCAATGCGGAGGTTGCTGATGTTGTTCAGATGAAATGCGCGGAGATTTCTTAGGCCCGTCAGAGCATCATCCTTTATGGTGATCCCCCTGGCATTTGAAATCCGAATGTCTTGAATCGAAGATGGAAGGCGTCCAGCAAAAAAATTCGTCTGAAAGAAGCATTCATTTTATGTAAAAATAATACTACAATAAGATATGTACAATTTGTCCATCCTACAAACATGCTTTGACTGGTCATCTACATGCCTACCTCTTCTGCGTCTCATTATGTTTCACAGCTAAGATAAGGTATAGAGTGGAACAAAGCGGCCGCTGCTTAATATGCCGACGCTTGATTTTTAAACTTGGAAAATTATTTCTTTTCCTATGTGATCCCTATCAAATTGCCTTTTATTTCAATTTCGTTTCATTTCTGGAGCCGTTCACATCTAGGAGATATTAGCAAAACCTTGCACCTATGCCTTCTGGCCACTTTTCCCCAGACCCCGTGGCAAAGAGGATGTGGAGGCGTTCACATCTAGGAGGATGTGGAGGCTATATGATCGCGCTGTCCTCGATTTCGATACATTTCAATATCAATAGCGTTTATTGTTCAGGTTGAAGCAACTGATGGAATAAGGAGCTGTCCACTCCGTCATGTCCAGTTTCCCCGCGCCTACCAACCGAGACAAAACAAATTCTTCCAACTCTGTTATTAGTCGGGCAAAATGCATTTAACCCATTAGTGGCAGGCTCCTGGCTACCCCTATTAGTGGCAGGGGGGGGGGCTGTTTACGACCCCCCCCCTGATATCTCGAGATCTAACGGGCCGATTTTCAAAATTCAAACGGCATTCGATTTCGCTCAACGTGATCTACATTTCTAAAAAATAAAAATTGGAAAATGTCAATAGGGGGGGGGGGGAAGAGGCGGGTAAAAACGGGCAAATTGCAGATACATTTTAGACTGTTTATCACGGCCAGGTTTCTGAACCAATCTTAACGCAACTTTTGCCGATCGATAGAGAATGAACCAGGAATTCACATGGATCCTAAAAATATGCATTTTCAAAAATCATAGGCGGATACAGATCATTGAGATTGGGGGTACACAAAAAGTATAGTAAATAAGGTTTTTGTTGGTACTGTTTCTAAAAAGGGTGGTAATGGTCTTGTTATGTTACAATTTTCTTATGAGAGAACGACTACAATTGTATTGGTCATGCATAGGCGGTGTCAGGGCACCTATGTTGGGAGGTAAAGCATAACCCCCTTTTTGGACGCCTGGATCCGCCTATTATAGCAAAAACGTGTCAAAAGAGGATGAACAATAACTTTGTATATGTTATCACATGATACCTTTCATTCACTGTTCGTAAAACTGGTGCATACAGTTATAATACATCAGCATCGTGATTTTCGCCCAAATGACTCGCTTCACGAATAGGACCCCCCAATTCCCAGTGCTCTGGAGCCGCCCCTGGTAAAGTTATGAACTTGAAATTTTCAGGGAATGTGCCCAATTTAGTTTTAGGAAAAGTCAGAAAATTTCAACATCGTAGCTTTAGCGGTTTCGGAGATATTCCCGAAAAACCTGAGGGGTGGATGAAAACAACCCCCTGCCACTAATAGGGTTTAACCCGCGCCCCGTTGAGGTCTGGCATGTTCCACGTCCTGTTGGGGGGGGGGGGGGGCAAAGAAGGGCCCCGTCGTATCTCCGGAACCAATAGCCGGATCGAAAAATTCAAACGGCAATCAAAAGAGCTCATCGAGATGCACAGGATAGGATATCGATGACCTTGATATTTGACCTGTGACGTCACAGAGAGGTCAAACAAGGTCAAATCAGTCCAATTTCCAATGACGAGAAGTCGGTCATAAAAATGAAAGCTAAGTTTTCAAAATGAGTCTGGATATGATGTAAATGATAGATCTGGCATGTGGAAAGTCATCTGAGTGGATGATGACCTGTGACGTCACAACAGGGGTCAGCCTCGACCAATCAGAAAACACTTTGGTGAATCGTAAGGAAAGGCATGTTAAATTGTGAATATTCGAGTTTTATGAAGACATGTCATATATATGCATCCACAGATGACAGAA